GTGAAAACGTAAGTCTTCGCCTCTCCCGACAGCATGTACATCTTGGAGAGGCAGACGAACTCCTCGTGATCGTCGTCCGGTCCCTCGCACGGTTGCGTCGGCATCCACGTTCTGTCGGCGGCGCGTACGAGAACGGAATTCCCTTCGTCGTTTACGATCCTGTATCCAGTTTCGGAAGTGACGACCACGTCTCCGAAGCTCAGTTTGCAAGACCGCTCGTCGAGCAGTTTTTCGGTGCGTCTCTGGCGGGCGTGATTCATGCAGACTACGGCGAGTAGCAGGAGCTGGACGCCGAATAGTACGCCGGCAGAAACTCCGAATAAACGGTACCCACGATCGCCATCGTTCCTCGTTCCGCGCGAGCGGCTCCTCGCAGCAGAGGTTCGGCCGTCCAACCTAACCTTTCGTTTGGAACCGGAGTCCATCGAGTCGGGGTCGCCGTCGATATCGCGATCGCTAAATTGTTTTCTGTGTTCGACCATCCCTTACGAAACGTCAGGTTTGCCTTCGTCCTGTTGCTCACCGTCGACACGAGGAGGTCTTCGGTGGATGAAAGTTTCTCCCTACCCTTGTGCAAATAGTGCAACAGCAGAGATAAAGACGATATTAGAACTATCGCGAAACAAACAACCGTCAGTTTCATACCATCGTCGAGAGCGAACGCTTCCGCACGAACGTTAACGTTGACCGTTCATTCCCTCCCCATCGCTTAGGCATGAGCGTTGCATCTGCTCCCGTCAAGGTGGTGTCGTGGACTTGCACTGTATCATTTGCGTGTGTTTGGTCGTCGTCGTGGTGCTGGTGGTACTCTGGATTTTGGATTTTGCCGAAATTTTCAAAAACCTGTAATCGCATGAACGAGGGCAAAGGTGGAGTGGCCGTCGTCGACGTCGTCGCAAATCCTCCGTGTTACCGAAGACACGCGAATTTGCTGATCTGCGTGTTGCTGTTCCTGGTCGTCGGGCTGTCCGTGTTCTGGCTTTGGGACCTCTTTAAATTGCTCGCGTGAGATCGGGGTGGTTTCAATCGTCGTCCGGACAATGAAGAGACACTGCGATCAGGACGGCGCGTTCGCGCCGATCATCCAAAGACACAGAAAGCTGAGGAAGGAATGTTTCGCCCCACACCGAACCGAATCGTCGTGTCACGCAGCCAGCAGGAGCGCCTCCTCAAGATTCAGGCAGAGGATGAACGCGAACGTCGGCATTTCTCTGGTGCAGTCGACCTGCGACGTCCGGTCGATCGCCAGAGAACTGGAGGAGACGGAAGGCGAATCGGACGTGCTCACCAGGATGGTCGGTGCGTACAGGCTTCGTGAAGCGAACGGGGACGCGGAAGGTGCGAACGAAGATAGCATGATGTACGAATCCACCCTTCGCAAGGTCCTGTCGGAGATGATGATCGAACACAACCACTTTCTCGATCGAGTGCGCAACGTTCCTAACGAATAGCTGAAACCCGATCCCTGGACGGTGGACATGCTCCAATTCAACGGCTACGAGCACGGCATGCGACCGGACGTCGGCATCGAAGTGCGGCGGTGCGAGTCACCCGACTGCCTGTCCTGGTACGTTTCCGGTGGATTCACGCTCGCCGAGTGTCTGAACGCGGACGCCGCCAAAGTG